GCCGTGTACGGCAGATTCGACGCCGGGCTCCAGCGTGACCAGCTTCTGGAACTGCTCCGTCAGGTCGCGCAGATCGGTTTCCAGGTCGGTTTCCCGGCGCACCACGCGGGCCACAACCTTTTCGACCTGGGCGAGGTCCTCGTCCAGCTTATCACTCTTCTCGCGTACCTCAATAAACCGCTTGTCGTGCTTGTGGACTTTTGTGAAAGCATTGATGAACGTGTCGGCAAAGTTATCGAATACACCGCCGGCCCCTTGGTCAGAAGCAACGCTTGTCCTACCGGCGCGAGACCGCATTGTGGCGTTCCAGTCAGGAGACTCGAGGAAGGTGTGCAGAATGGGTGCGCGGCGCAGAACGGGATGGAGTGTTATACGTGACAGGAAACGCTGGAGCGAGTAGGCTCGGCGGTTAGTGAAGTCTGGGCCAAAGCGGTCCCCACGGACGTACTCCATGCGCTGCTTGTCGGGCAGCGGAGGGACGGCGCATGTTGGGTAGTCTTTCGAGAGGGTCTTGGAGAGAAATACGAAGTCGGTAAAGCGCCGGCGGGAGGTGAAGGTGGGTTTCTGGAAGGAAGGGAAGGTGGACTATATCGTCGACGATGACGATGGAGCAAGTCAGTCGTTGGTCGTTGTTCAAGTGGTCAGCGGTCATGCGAGAAGGGAAGACAACACGCACAGTGGTTGTGATCAGGTACGACACAAAGGCGTCCTTGGTCCCGTCGCTCTCCTTGTGCGGCTCCGAGACGGTGCACTCGAGGATATCGCCCGACAGGCCCGGGTCCTGGCGCTGCAGCTCTTGTCCGCGGTGCCGGTCCTCGCTGCTCGGCGGCTCGGCTTCGATGTTCGGCATCGACGCGCTCGACTCGGCGGCTTCGGCACCATTGTTGGTCTCGATCTGCCACGAGATGTTGGAGAAGTTGTCCTGGTCTATGACGGCCATTGTGTGCGGTTGATGTTCGTTGCCTGCCCGGGGCTATGCTATGTTATGTGTGGCCTACGTATTGCGAAGTATTGATTCGTTGGCTGCGCAACCATCACACCGTATCGGTGTGAGTGTGAGTGCGAAAAGGATACCTGTAAGTCGTATCGTAAATTCACAAGGACCAGCGTGGGCGATTGGCTAGTCCATAGGTGAGACTGGGTAAGTAATGAAGCTTGTTTAGGTTGTTCGGTCCGCCGATTCTACGGGGACGCCGGCTGGAAGGTGTAGGTGGGCTGAGATGGCTGAGGTTGGTGGGGAAGCATGCAGGTAGGTTACGTCCCTACCAATTACAGCTGCATACGTCACGCCTCTTTACATACATATACCTAGGTCTACATATTCCTGGTCTTTTCGAAGTTCTAGGTCCAGCTCGACTGCCCTGGATACCTTAACATCGAGACACGAACAAATATCGAAGCACTCTATTTTTTCCATGCAATAAATCTATCGTCCCTACCTCTATGGTTATCTAAACTGTTAGAAAAAAAAGAAGCAACTACGCATAATTAATCTTACAGGAGCAGATAGCGTACTCAAGAGTCATCTTATTCTTTTAGTACAAAGTTCATACTATCCCGGTGATCATCAATCACCCGTCCCCATTCCAGTAACAACCTAAACAGATAGACTTCCATGTCTTCTTTTCTGATTGCCTTCTCGGCCCATTTTTGACCTTCCTGGGCGATCCATCTGGCGTCTTCTGTTCGCCCTGGCGTGATCTGTTTCCGTCCGTTGAGCGTGCCACGGCCATCCAAGCCAATGAAGTAAGACATCGTGCTATGTAGAGCGTGGTATCTCGTATCTATGGGGATGAAATGGACCCAGGGCATCAGCCGCTCTGTAAACCATTGTTGGAATATAGAAGAGAGGACCGGTACGCTGTTTGACCGCAACACCTGCAGTAAGTTCGGCGGTGGCCCATCTCTGGTATCGAGTAACATCACGTAACGACCATCCACTTCCGTGATTGGCTGCTGCAATCCGAACTCGTCCCGTATGAGCTCGCAGTTCGCGTCTTTGCAGCCCTCAGGTGGGCCGGTCAACGAGAATTGCAGAGGTAAGATGCTGTTTGCCTCCGCGGTAGGCACGTATTCGTATCGAAATCTACTATTCTGGCCCGCTCCTATCCCTAATAGCATAGGGATGTGGTCTGTGGCCGTGGCATTTTCGACAAGATGTACTAAACGTAGCCTGTGGCTACCATGAAGAAATTCGTGGGTGGCCGGTGGAATACCGTCAACATCGCCTTGCCAGACGACGACATCTTGCTTTTGATTAAACGTTCTGCCGTCATACTCTTGTTTCAGCCCAGACATGGGAAAGGGAATCAGGACATCGTTGAAACTAGCCGTCTTCGACGCACTGAATAGGGGTAATAGATCTTGATAGAGTTCGAATTGGTGAGGAGTGGTGTGAAAGTCATGAAGATTGAAGAGATCCGGCTGATGACATGGGTCGAGCGCCATTTGCCAATCTTGGAGGAACTGTTCTTTGCTGTGAGGTGCTGCACATGTGGCACAGAAGTCTCTTACGTCCCAACTGCGGCCAGTGCGACTGGGTGAGCCCGGGGGGCAAGCGAGGGCCTCGAGTTGTCGAAAATGATGAGCCGCAATATAGGTCTGAGCTGAACGTGCTGCTTCCATTCGCATGTCGGTGCCGGCCTCTTTCACTTTAGAAATATCTGAATCGTCACGTCTGCGTCTGGGCATAAGCTTGAAGCCTGGCTGGCTTGCTGTTGTTCTTAACTTTTGTATCTCATTCCAAGGAACTAGGACTCTCGGCCGTTCTAGCAAGTTGATGGCAATTTCCATCGCTGGAAGATGCTCTGCAAAGCTGGAGATCAGAGAAACGATCCCATCGAGTGTTTCTTGCTGCGACAGATCGGCCGGACTGTTGTGAGACACTTTATTATCAGCAATGCTGATTATGCCGATATTGGGCTGGCCCTTGAGGAAAGTGAGGCGATCTCGGATATCATGCGGCCGTAGGCCCCAGAATGGCAAGATATCTTTCTCCATTTGATCGAACTTGTCGATAACAACTGACTTTCGTTGCCGGGCAAAGTCAAACCACTTGTCAAAATTACGTGGAGGTCTGCGCCCGTGATGTCTTTCTTCGTACTCCTTGACCGCGAGTTTCATGGTTGTGCTGACTGTTGCATGCCGTAGCCACCGATCTGCCTCTATCCGGTTCTTGTAAACGAGGTCATCGACTGGATGACGAGTGAACACCTTTGGTGTCAGGAACACGTAAATGATAGAAGAAACCATTATACTCAGTAACAACAGCAGGAGAAACGCGCGTCTTATGAAAATGATGGAACGCATATTGTTCGCGTATGTAAAAATGGTAAACCCAAGTGAGCTTGTTCCTAAGATGAGTAGTGGTTGTGCTGCAGATGTTTGTTGGTACGTGCCTACTAGAAACACATTGCTAACAGCAGCAAATAGGCTGCATGCAAAGGTAGCAATGGTAATGGGCTCATGTGGTGATGTGTCGCATATCAGCAGGGATGTCGAGATGACGAGCGTAGCCACAACTATGCCAGTAGTCAAAGTGTCGAAAATATAGAGGGAGTTGACACCTCTAAGAGATTGGTGCCCAATGATTCCGCCACGCTTTGAGAATCCTGCAGCTACTAAAGGGACGCATGTCGTAAATGACGCGATCAACAAAACGCTGCCGAGGGTCCGCAACCGACTTTTCGTAGTTCGTAACCAGGAGAGCACTCTCGACGACAGGATGATGATAGTTGCATCCACGAATAGACCAACCAATTGAACGAGAAAGATGAGAGACCCCTGGTCGGCCAAAGGAGAACAGAAGTATGTAGATCTCATTGTAAGATTGCCAGCTAAAAACGCACCGTAGCTGAGAAGGATGGTACCGAGAAGCAGCATAACAGGTGAGCTCGTGAGCCATATTTTGAAATCCTCCAACGGGCTTCCCCACATATCTTCGGGCTCATCTGACTCTATCGGTGGTGCACGATATGAGCAGAACCTATGTGCTACTAACAACAGCGGCAAAAATGCCTGTGAGATAGGGTTAGCTACATACTGCCAGCTTCGTGGAAAGGGGGGCTGAGTTGTCTGACCTCGATACCTGGAGTAGAGCACTGGAAATCATGCATACTTCTGTAAGAAAGCTCAAGTCTAAAAATTACAAGGATAATAAGACAGGGTACATAGAATCGACGTGGTCTTGGTGGCAAGGAAGACGACGCTGCCTTCAAGACGGCGTCGGAATCTACCATAACGTCAACAGCCATCGCTCTCACACGAACAGGAATGGATGCACGAACCAAATCTTCCATGGGCGCCAGGAAGCCATTCTGAAAAGACACTCGCAAGGAAAGAGAGTGAGCCGGAAATCAGGAGGAGCAGAAAGGATGAGAGACGCGGCTGATCTGAGTACCGCGTCAGCAGATTTACTCTAGACGACGAAAGACAAGCAATTACGGATTAAGGCATGTCTTTGCGAGGAATAGGACAGCCAGGCAAACGAAGCTAGAAACCTGTTCTCTAGTTAGCCGCATTGTTTTCTAGTTTGTTCGTCTTTCCCCTTTCTCCCCCCTTTTTAGTTGATGTACTGTACGTAAAGAAGTCAAGGGTTAGAGTAAGGCTCACCAAACGCTTGTTAACCGCGTGCCAGCATCGAGAGCCATTGAAGCGGCATTGGCCGTGACAGCTTAGCCCAGATCGTTGTACAAAGATAGTTTATGGCGTTTTCATATCATCTGGGAGAAAGATCATTCACAAGTGGGAGGTAGTGTGCTGCTATATCAAGCCAATCATTTAAAAGCAGAAGTCACGCTGGCTACTTACCTCAGTAAGTAGGTACTTACCACATGCAGTCAGTGGTTAGTGGTAGCGCTGTATCTAATCCTGAATACCGTGTTTAATGAATACTATATACTGTATTAATTGATGGTACCGCGCATCGATATAATTTTCTCTACGTTATCAAGCCCCCATCAAGTCACATGACGCCATACGAGGCCGCTTTTAGTGAAGTTGGGCGAATGGTCTAGGGGTATGATACTCCCTTCGCATACATCCTAAATCTGGGATCTTCGTGCTTGGGAGGGGTCCGGGGTTCAATTCCCCGTTCGTCCAGATACTTTTTTCTTTTTTCAGAGATTTTTTTCTTATCTTTTCATCAAAAATCTTTGGTAAAAGGTCTGTCCTATGTTGATTATTTATTCTTTAACAAATTTTGTTTTGGTTTACTCTACCATCACTTACCCAGCTGGCTTTCTTTTATAGTTTAGAAACGAAGTGCTGGCTGGGGTCTGTACCTTTAACAACCCTCTCGAGTTTTGGTGTTTACTTGATAGCTTTGCGTTCTTTCGCAAATGCAATGTAGAATAAAATGTAAGTCGACCTTCGATGTTACCCCAGTGGTTCCAATTGTGAGTCCTCCTTTCAATTACAGTAATTGCAATCACGCAATCGCTCTCTCTCTCCTGGCATGGTTCGAGCATTGCAGTAATACACAAATCATTGGACAGCTTGCTTAGGCCACAGTTGTCTTATCCGTATAGCTTGTCTGTATGTAAGGTTGACAGCAGGGATGGCATTCAGCTTTGTTTGGTTCGCTTCGACCAAGAAGCCATTTTCGTCTGACTGGATTGGCCAGCTGCCGCCTTAAAATCAAATAGGTACCCAGGTCAGCCCTATACGAACCTGAATTGCCACCTGGATGGCTACCCGGATGGACACTCATTATTTGATATACCAGTACCGCTGGTGTCTGCGCCGCAGATGCACCTCGATCGTCCTAAAAATAACAGCGTGTAGACCTCTACTAGTATCAAGCCTCGTCCCCCAAACAGTAAGAAGCTCTTTATAATACTGCCACTGCCCCTAGGTAGACAGAGCCAAGCTGTCCTCCAGCGATATCCTGCTTTGCACGCTGCGGTCTCCTCGACAAATATGCGTTGAGCATGTCTTGCAGATATGGATAGGTCATGAGACGATATGGCCTAGGACAAGACTACATGGACAAGACTCCTGAGAGACCGGTAGAGAGATTCAACATCAAGCAAAGCAGTGTGCTTGTTCGGAGACCTTCCAAAGAATCGCCCTTGTCGACGAGAAGTCATTTGAAGGATTTGATCATCGAAACGAGCCATCTCCCAACCAATTTCAACTACTCTATCCTCCCCTACCACCATGGCGGATAGCAAGAAGCACATGGAACAACACTAAAGCACCGAGCACGATGCGAGTAGCGTCCCGTAAATTCACTTCCATGAAAGAAACCCTATCGCTACCCCTTGGGGCCGGATGTTCGACGCCGTATGGAAGTGTGATTATAGTCTCGAAGGTCGTGCCTATCCAAAGTCGATCAATGTCTGTTATGCATTTATCTTTATGAGTCTACGATGGCAGACGTGCTTAAGCATGCGCGGCACACAACTAATATCACAGCAACTTCTCTCATGTCACCCGCGCTATTCCACAAGGTAAGGCTGAGGAATACATATTGACGGAATGCTTGTTCCATAGGCTCCACTTCATTATTATTCTTACCCCCAAGTTCCATCCAGCATGCAACAAACGAGAGACGAGAGAACAGACCCCAGGAGCAGACCTGAGGACACAAACACCAACTCGAACACGGGACATGCACGCATCGCCGATGACCTGAGAGTGCTTCGCTAACATGAGAGTCGTGGCTGGTCATCGTCCTCCTCAGAATCGGGTCAACTGAACCAGAATAAGGCGGAGACTTAGCCGATAACACTACGAAAGGGGAGACATGCATCATAGATGAAGTGCATAGGGCATGATTACCCGGGTCGCTACTCTAAGAACAGAGATAACACAATCAACATTTGCTTCGGTGAATAGTCTCCATATCACCACCGGCCTCTGGCTCCAAGGCAGTCTCTATTGATCGGGACAAGGGTAAAGAACACCAGTAGCAACAACTTGAAGGACGACTTGACAAACGAGGAGGCAAACAACCTGACAAACAACGCCACGATAGCGACCCAAGTATGCGAGCATACACTCGACGTTCGAATTTATAACGAGAGAGGGCAGGATAGACCATACAGAAAGAAACACTGAGAAGGTTGGGACTGGCGATACTACAGCACCTGCTCGGTATGATGCAAAACATCAAATCCGACCCCACGAGCCGAGAGTCCGGCGCGAGATCTCGACCTATTGCTGCGTCGCTGACTGTCCAATGTCAGCTCTCATGGTCTTGGCTCTTGCCAAGAGGCCAAAGGATTGCTCAGCGAGCCCAGCAACCCTCGACGATATCAAATTGTGTAGACAGCACATGATACACGCTAACCGGTCTTATAATAGTGTGAGCGAAGCCCACCAGTGTTAGATCGAATGAGGGATGACTAAAAATTCGAGTACGGATCTTCCCTTTTTAGCGACGCGAACAACGCCAAGACGACGCATGAGGTCCGGGCTGTCCACATCGCTTCGCTTATACGCGTACAGCCCTTCACTGGAGCAAAGATTGTTTGCCACTCATGGCAGGGACAGGATTCAAGGACATATACTGTATGTCTGACCAGGTAGTGTACACCATGTGGAACGCCAAACTTTGGCGACAATGGTTTTCAAAATGCTCAAACCATACTGAAATCAAGACATGTTTACTAACTATCTAGTGTGATTATATACTTCATATACTCAATGATCAGTTATGAGAGACCCGGGTATCGCTCGTACAAGTCCAGACAACTGCGTACGCTAGATATGTGCTCTGCATGATTGTACCTGCTGTATATATGTACGCTTTATAACCTTGCTCTACACTACACTACACAGAAGAAATTCTAGACTACATAGTATATGCTTACCCTTCTGGGTAGCCAAGACCCGGCCGGCATTGCCAGATTCGAATCTCCACTATATCCCTGCACTTTGGGATGAGGTGATCTTCCTTCTCATTTAAATTATAGTTATGCACTACTGCAGTAGAACTACCATAGAAGTCCTGCTGTATGCTGCAAAAAAGGGGGCGTCTTTACCATCGCGTGACCTAGTCCCATTTTGTCTGTCCAGAGTTGCAGTTCACAGGAACACGTTCATTGCGCCGACCCCGATGTATGCAAACCAGTTGAATTACCGCTATCCTTATCCCACTCAAACTAGTAGTATACTAAATGTCACCAACCAAGCTCTAGTCGCCATAGTGCTTTGCTGCAGTTGACAAATGGTACAGTTTACACTAGTCAAGCGCTTGGTAATTACTTGCAACCCTGGAGTCTACTGGAGCGATGCGAACGTAGACGTTATGTTGAAGTTTTTTACAAGTTAGACCAACCCCATCTTATACCGGCTCTTGGCGTCTTATGTCATCTCGTCATCTCTCGGTAGCATCTCATCAGGGGTCCCGGTCATAACGGGGGTGCAAGGAATCCTCACTACTAATATGTGATGTGTTGTGTCCAGACAGATACATTAGTCTATTGAACGGACCAACTGTACTGAAGCGTTTACGTAGTAGATACATCGTACAATTCACAGGTAAACATAGTATAGTAGACTACAGAACTAAGGTTCCAAAGGGCGACGTTATCTGATCGCGCCAATAGCTTGAACCTCGTAGCAAACTGCCGAGCAAACTGTGAGTGGCTTGTTTAGTCTCGTCTCTACATAGATACTCCATACCTACTGTTGTCTCAGCTCCAACCCAGTACGGGGAGGGCAAGGATTAGCTAATTGCTGCAAAGGACTCTCCGAATAACTGGTCAATGCTAGTGTAGCCGATCATAGTCAGCTTGCATTCGCCAAGATGCGCTAATATCCTGTTTGGCACCTCCACAACACTATGGGCAGTGCAGAAGAGTGTAAAGACAAGTAGCGGATAGTCAGCCTCATCCACTGAAGACGCTAAAGCTTCTATTTTGAGTGAAATGTACGCTACAACCCTGTACTAATACCCTTTTCGTAGGCGTAATGGAGGATCTCAAGGCTGGGCAATCGTTCGAAGGCCGTAGGCTCTCGGAGTGAGAGTCGAGCTGAGCTGCGAGGCGAATGAAATATATAAAGCTATCCGACGCTTCATGAATGCTACTCTTCTCTTTTGCTCTCCACCCCTCCCGTCATATTCATTCCTTTTATCAAAATTCGATTATTCTGTTCTTAACAATTCGTTGTTTGTAGTTCTAATTATTCAAAATGAAGTTCGCTACTGGAGTCGTCTCTACTCTGGCCGTGGCCGGCGCCGCCATGGCTGCCCCCTCCAAGAAGGCCAAGTGCTCTGCTGACCTTCCCACCACCTTCATTGCTGGTGTCGAGGTTGTTGACACCCAGATCGTCCGGGATGCCCACGAGCTCGTCAAGGAGTTCATCCCTCTCCAGCCCTACCTGTACAACCACGTTGTCCGAACATGGCTCCTCGGCGCTGCTGCCCTGAACAACAACGCCACCCTCAAGTCCCAGGTCGATCTTGAGCTCCACGCTGTTGGCTCTCTCCTGCACGATCTTGGTTGGGACCGTAAGTGCTACCACGCAGCTCTTGAAACAACCTTTAGTTCTAACTTGTGTTTATAGAGCGTGACAACACTCCCTACAACAGCCACAAATACCGCTTCGAGATCGACAGCGGTGTCGCTGCTATGAACTTCGTCAAGAACCACCCTGACGGTGATCAGTGGGATGCTGCCCGTCTTGAGAGACTCTACGATGGTATCTCTCTACAGACCATCATCGGCATGTCCGACTTCAAGAACATCGACACCCAGTGGATCGTCAAGTCCATTGGCTTCGAGTTCCCCCAGCCGCGGTCTCCCCTCATTCCCACCGAGTTCTACGACAGCGTCCAGGGCAACTTCACCAACAGCACCCTGTTCCGTGGTACCAACGACACCTTCACCCGCTTCGCCGTCAAGGACCCCGAGACCACCTACAACACCTTCCTCGATGTCTTCGGTCAGGAGTACGTCCCTGGCTACAACGAGAAGGGCGCTCGTCTGTTCGATCTCATCCAGGGCGGTATCCAGCTCGAGCTTGGCCAGTACCCCGACGTCCCCTTCACTCCTCTCCCCCCTGTTTCCTCTTAAATCAATGCGGCCCATCGTCGCAGGGGAGATATCATTCATGTAACTACATTTACTATTATACCAATAGACTTGAAA